AGTGTAATATCTGAACAATAGATGGCGTTGTGTACGCGATGTATCGTCGGTTTGTTTACTATCATGAAACGCCACTTACTCAAATCGGTAGGAAAGGAATTGTTTGCTTTTTTTGGTTTGTTTGTTTTTGCATGTTTTATGCTTCCTGTTGTTTCAAGTGTAGGCCTACTTTTATTAATACTTTCATTGATGGAAATATAATAAAGAAATGTTTTACATAAATGTGCTTTGTATCTCCTTGATTTAATGACAACAAAAGTGAATGAAAAACATGATGAATTTATTAATGCCGAATGATTGTGGAATTCATTTAACAGATTTGTTTATCTAATAAAGTGTAGAATTTGTTGAATTTAAATTTATATTCATTGTATTAACAGCAAAGATATTTTCTGGAATATAATTATATAGTATTTAAATAAAGGAATAATTTTATGATGTCATGGAAATATGCATACACATTAGATAATTATTAATAAATGTTTTATTGTCATAATCTGAAAAAAATGCGAAATATTCTTTTAATGTATGTAAAGAAATCTCTAATAAGAGAAAACAAATATTAAAGAATCGAATAATTATATTATATTATATATCATTTGTAAATTTATGAATATATATAAAGAATAATTCTTTAATAGATATATTTCAAGTCTCTAATTTAAGACATTGCAAAACCAACTGAAGCAAGACCTAAAAAAAAATATATAAATTTAGTCCCCCTATAACCGTTCTTTTTTAGTTACATATCTGAACAATAGATGGCGCTGTATGAACTTTTGGGTCTCACATCATTTCAATCGGTGTAATAAATGCTTTCCCATCTTATATATTTTTCTAATATAGTCTCTGGTCTACAGACAAAGAGGAATGCTAGAATTTAACCTCCCTCTCGTGCAAATAAAGTTCATGTTGGGGGTCTGATGCCAGCATTCGTTTCAGACCTTCCCCGATAAGGATATGACAGACCAGTTCGATGATCATCATGTCCTTTATATTCTTACATCTCACTTCGTACATGTGATCCTCAAATAAACATTAATTAACATAATTACTTGTCGACATGATGTAGGCCTACACCCAATACTGTCAGTTCAGTAACTAACGGAGCAAAGGCCCAAGGCAACAGTTATTAAACAATGATTACTGTCCTACGTAAGGGATTTAGGATTTGGTATTGAAATTGTTTTGTCTCAGGAAATTCAGGTCAGTGACTTGGCTTACGTGATTTAACATGGCTTTTCCTTTACGGGAACTATACCTTGTCCAATCTCAGGAAAAACTGAACTCATCTAAAAAAATTCAATTAATGAATAAATAGATAATATAACCACATACACAACGCACACACACATATGCATATATATATATATATATATTATAATATATATATATATATATATATATATATATATATATATATGTATATATTATATATGCATTATATATATATATTATAATTATATATATTATATATATATATATATATATATATATATATATATAATAATATATATATACATATATATATATATACATATATATATATATATATAATATATATATATATATATTATAATATTATATACATATAATATATCATATATATATATTATATATATATATATATATATTATATATATATATATATATATATATATATTTATATATGCACATATATTATATTATATATTATATATTATATATATAATATATATATATATATATATATATATATAAATTTTAAAATACCATATGACGAAATGCGATACTCTTTAGTGTAAATTCAATCTCTAGAACCCACTAGGGGTTTCAAAGAATCAAATAGGATGGCAATATTAAGAAAGTCAAGGTTGGTTAGACGTTGCCCTAAAGTGACTGCTTAGTAGCTCTAACCATTACCCAGTCCATGTAAGTATGAAAAGTGTTACTGAAAGATAATTACCCTGCCTTACACATGTATGCACAGGGAAAAACCTGGACGAGCCCACACCACACTTCTAGCTGTACTTTCACTACTAATATATAGGTTTGTTAATCCAGTAATTCTTGCTGGAATTCCTGTCTCAGAGCAAGCGCAATACACCGAGTTGGTACGTTGAGTTCGGCATAGCCTGTGAACAGCTTACAGTCAAACTCACGAAAGAGCTCTTCAGTGACTAAAGTCCTAAGATAGTCTCTTATGGATTTGCTAGAACTGAACCTGTTCTGTTCTCTGGTGCCTCAACAGGTCTTGGGAAATAGTACTGAACAGCCAGATAGCAGCCAGAAAAGCCTGTAAAGCACCATCCTTTAACAGTTGGCAAGGAATCTGCTTTACCACAATTGACCTTGAAGGTCGCCTCAACTTGTCAACCTGGTACAGCTGCTCAAACTTTTTAGCCCAAAGTCATGATGACATACATGGTCTGAAACGATCTGACTTACTGGGCGAATTGCAGTCTGTGAGTAGGATTTAAAGTTTAGCTTTCTCAGGGTCTGGATGAAGGATATATACCAAGATATGGCCTTTGACCTCCTTCGCAGGGTTCCAGGTTCTTGTATCTTTCCCCTACTCATCAGTATCTGAGTTGATTGAGAACGATGCAATTCCCTCTTAGTACCACAGAAGGCACTCCAGTAGACACTAGTTCTGCCTGCAGTGAGTATTAACAAGGATGTGTCGATCCTCTTGGCAACATTACTAACACTACTGTACCATGCCGAGATTTTTACCAGGTCAGAAATCCTCAGTTGCAAGAATCTAGCAAAGACCTACAGAAATTTATTGCGGCAACATTGCGAATGCGGTGTGTGGAGAGTCAAAGGAGATATGATGAAAGAAGAGATTTATCGAGTCATGGTGCGAAGTTGGCCACGTCGTCCATGTCCTTTCTCACTTTTCCCAAGCTAAGGCACTTGGATCTGGTTTGGTCTCTCTCTGTGTAATTTAACCAGTGCTTTGGTGCGACAGAATGTAATAACGGAGAGTGAGAATCGTTAAATGAATCTATTGAATTATAACGTCCATTTTGAACACCTAAATGACATCATTAACGCCATTATCAGACTGAATCTAAAATTTCTGTGTGAAACGTGCACTCTCGAAATGCTTCGGTCACGATAAGTTTAAATTCGAGAGAACTATACATGGCCATATGTGAAAGGTACTGCTTAGTTTAGATATAATAGTCGGGTCACTTTAACATGTATAAATATGCATACAAGAAATCTTAGAGTTTACCCCACAGTTCACTAAACTCAAACTCGACAAAATAGCAAAGACAGTGCGCTGGCTTGCCTAGAAGCCTGTTTATTCTTCGCTTCCACGCCACCTGTTGGCAAGTTGAACAACCGCTGTGGTAAACACGAAGGGGTCGTCAGGTGTGACCATCAGCAAAAGTTGAGGTCTTATCACATGCAATAACACCGTCACAGGCAAGATTCCCTTCCTGTGGCACCCTTCTTTCAAGAGAGGGAGGAGAGTGTGTGCTGAAGGCGGATGTGTTTTCTACAATGACTCGTGGCTGCGCTGTTGAGGCGGACCCCAGAGGCCCTTCTTCCTGCCTTTGGTCTCTCGTGAGCTTTAGACACGTAAACACTGTCATGAGTGATTTGTAGAAGCTCGTGTGGTGGTTATCTTCTGTTAGGAAGGTCTGATCTACGCTAACAGGTGTGTATCCCAGTTTTTCATATGGTGAATGGATCAGATAGCGACGCCATTTAATTTTCGACGCATTAAGTAGTAAAGTCATTAAAGTGAGTCTTAATTCGGAAGAAAGTTACTAAAGCGAGTCCTAACTCCTCTCCTCAGCCCTCGCCCTCGAGTGACATCACTCCTACACCCCAAGACACCCTAGCACGTCCCTCAACCTCCTCTGCGGTTGTTTAGAAATGGAGCAGACCAAACAGCCTCCGACTGGCTGCAATGTCCGGGTTGGAAGTTACGGTGTTGTGGCGGGGTCTGGGGAAAACACGGAATGTAATTTCATTTTGCGGAATGATTGAAAGCCGTATACGAATTGGAATGAAAAAAGTTTTTTGTGTGCAAACTTTCAGATACACATGCAGGCGTCCCCTCTTGAACCGTATCCGGTAATTTTCTATATTACCTTCGCCTCTCCGATATCGACGATTTTGGTATCGTTGGATTCCTCTCACTCTGTACAATCCAAATAAGTAGGTTTTATTGCGCGGAAACCCCCCGTTGGAGAAAAAAATTGGCCCCGATAGCAGGGGCGACGATGTCGGAGCGGCGGTCGGAGCAACGGACGTAATGTAGTAATTTTGACGATTTTGGTATCGTTGGATTCCTCTCACTCTGTACAATCCAAATATGTAGGTTTTATTGCGCGGAAACCCCTTGTTAGCGACAAACTTGGCCCCGATAGCGGGGGCGACGATGTCGGAGCGGCGGACGTAATATAGAAAATTACCCTAATAATATAACCCACAGTGAAAATAACCATGGTTATTCACATGACTTTCCATTGCAGGGGGCTGCGCCCCTGCCACCCTCCCTGAAGGGGGGTGCCGCCCCCAACCCCCGCCAAGGAAACAAAATATCCACCACATATTCACGGTAGGATAGAGCGCACACGAACTAGATGCGGAGCCGATAACCCCTACCATAACCTAGTAGGAACACCCTCCACATTCAGTCAACGCGGCGGTTATTTCGGTTAGGAATTCGAAAATCGTAGTTCCAGGAGACGGGAAACTCGACCTTGAGGCCATCGGTGTAACATCGAGAAAGGCGCAAAACCCGCCGACGAGGGCGCTTTTCTGTTCATGGTATACCTTGTTCATCCTGATTATACTGCAATCGTCTCTGTATACAATGCTGACTATGTCAAGGTTAGTATGCTGATTCAGTGGGAATGTTACGAGGTAATTGTAATACGTCCGCCGCTCCGAGATCGACAATAATTTTGTAACGCTCTAGCCTGCCGGGAATACGTAGTGGAGGTTTTGTTTCCTCGGCGGGGGTTGGGGGGCGGAGCCCCCCCCCAGGGGGGGTCGCAGGGGGCGAAGCCCACTCTAATGGAAAGTAATGTGAATAACCATGGTTATTTTCACAGTTTGTTATATTGTTAGCGTTATTTAACCCCGAATTTTCCCTCCCTTGCTATCGGGTCCAAGTTTGTCGCAATGTGGGCAATGAGAGGAACCCAACGATACCAAAAGCGTTACAAAATTAGGCGAAGCTAATATAGAAAATTATCCCGTATCCAAATACCCAGAGAGGATTAACTGTAATTTCGCCAGAGATTTCAAAGTATGGCCGATAATAGATGGGCCCACGGCCAGATGGCAGCACTTCTGCTATGTCGGCCAGTAGACGGCACGGAGCCTTGTTGACGTGTTTTCCCGATTTGGTTTCCGTGCATCGATACCTGTAACACTAAGTTGAACATATGAACACAACTGAAACATAAAAAAAAGGTTATTTGAGCATGTACCGCGCACCATTTGGTAAATTACGCAATATCATGTTTCATTTCGTATACGACATTCCATTTCGCGAAATGGAGTTCCATTACGTGTTTTCCCTACAGCGATGTGGCGCGAGCGCGTCTTCCCGCAGCATTTGCCTTTTGTTAAGGGTTTCTTTGTGCTGTTTGCTAGCTCGCTCACACGTGGTGCGTGCGAGGGCAGCGACATTTCTCTTTTTTTTTCTTTGCGAAACATTTGTACCAACATTGGGGTTATAAGTTACTAGGATGATAAACAAAAAAAGCCAATGAAGAGATGAAATATACGCACACGCATACACAACCTCACACACTCAGAAACATTAATATACACTCATACTCCCTCTATTCTACAGCAAAAGAGAAAATTTTATTAAACTGCTCATTACCATTTTCAATTGCACTCTTGGCTTTCAGTTTCAGGACGTAGACTACTAAGATTTGAGAAGGAAACAGTAAACATGGGTAAACATTCCTTTCCTGTCTTGGACGACAATATGGACATAATTTAATAGTTCTGTTTCGTAATCGGTAGATACTCCAAAATATGTAACTATCATATATCAGCATAACACAAGATTGCCTTTGTCGTATCAGCCTTATACAGTGACTGATTTGTCATGGGATCGTCACATGTCGTGCAGTTGGAGCAGTCGAATCTTATATATGTCATCAAGGAATATCTATTTAATCAGATCGCAAAATTGTTTCTAGAGAGAGGGAGCGCGCGCTAGAGGGAAACTTACTATCCTATTCAGTGGAAAGAAGAAAGGAGAATAGCTATATGGATAGATGGAGACAGACAGAGAGACTGGCCATGTCTTATTCAAAAGAACTGGGGGAAAGAGAGAGAGAAAAGGCTACATACATAGAGAGATCAATTTTGATAATTTCCTGGGCCCTTTAAACATGAAGGGGACCGTCCCGAGCGAGTAAATTTTTTTTTGGGTCAAATTGAGTTAGCTAGCGTATAGTATAGATACATGGATGAGGAAACTACCAAACGAGTATTAAAGCCCTGCTATGGCTAGCTTCCGGACAGCGAACACGAGACACCTGGGCAGGTACACCGCTAATTAACGCCCAGGTACACCCATGTGGACATTTGCTTGTTGCAATCGTGCATACGGCATTTGATTATGACATTGCGCACAGATATGAGTCGTGAATGGTCAAGGAACACTTTTTGCACGTACTACACCACTGTTATGCTGTCTGTTAAGACAAAAGGACGAAGTATTCTACCTTACCAGGATTGGTTTAAACATCTGAAGACTATCTTCACGTCTGTTCTTGTCTGCTAGCACTCACTGAGTTTGTGGATTGTGTAAAGGAATGAAGGATTCCTTGTCTGATATTATATATATAGAATTAAGATCATCAAGAATTTATTTGATTTAATGTATTAACAAGAGAATAATTATTCAATTTCATTTAGTTTGTAACATTGGCTACAGTGACGTTAGAGTTGTACGAACGCCCTACAAAAACGCAATTTTGTGAATCCGCGAAGCCCCGCTAGAGAGCCACGTGAAACGCCTTGTGCTGCCTACTTTTAAATTATTCTTGTTTTATGAAGATTTGGGCTAGCTACACTGTAAGTCAACTATTTATACAGTTAATAATGTATTGTTCAGATGTTAGAGCATATGTTGATAACAAAGTTGTGTCTTTTACGTGATATATAACTTGAAATTATGTGATATAAGTAAGTGCCATTCTTATTGTACTCTTATATTTTTACCAAGCTTTATTTCAGTTATTTACCAAAGAATAATGTTTTGTTTCCTTTTCATTTAATGAAAGTATCTAGTCTTTAGTTATTTATCTTTTATAAATTTCCTTAATAAACTCAGGAAATGTCATAAAATAGTATAAGGAATAAGAAGTCATTTGTTTGTTAAATGTTTACATGTATGCTAGTCTTGCAGT